CTTCATATTTGATCATTTAATAAATTGCATTTATCCCAGAGCAGCTGTGTCACAGTATGGTCCTAAATAAAAACAAGTTTAGCACATCAAGAACCTTGTTTTTTGATAAAATTGTGAATGGAATTTGTGGATCTTTATGATAAATTAAAATAACATTTAAAACCCACCTAGAGAACATGGCACGCTGTTTTTATTTATTGTTTAATATATTTTTTGACTGGGGTGTTAAACAGAGAATCATTTTTGCTTTAATATGGGGAAAACAAATGTTCTGTTAGTTAATGTGGTTTAATTAGAAGAACTCAAACAGTGAATCTCACAGAAAGACTCTCTCATACAGCAGTTTCTCAGGAGGAGAGTTTAGTCACTCACACAGAGTTGGACAGATCTGTTCAATAACAACATTCTGAACACATATTTAATATAAAGTTAGGTTTTACAGACCAAAGTCTCTGGTAGTTCAGGAGCAAAGTGCAGGAGGAGAGGAGGAGGAGATATCAGGACTGATCGCTGCAGCAGCTCGAGTCGACTGAGCCAGCCCCTTGTTTCAACCAAACTTGCTCTCACTGAAAGTCCCGCTCTGCTCTGCTCTGATTGGACAAAAAAGGCTCTGGACTTCGTCTGATTTGTTGAAGACAGTGTCCGTTTAATCCTTATGTCAGTGTCCCACTGTGGCGCACCGAACGATCCATTCACACCAGTATCGCTGGATTCTTTTTTATGTATTTATTTTTTTTAAAGAAATCAGGTTGCATTTGCGAACAAACTGGTCGCACTCTAGAGCCCTGCTAACTGTTGTTTTGACAGACAACCAGGTACAATCTTAGGTATGCAAGGGAGCTTTATGACGTTTCATCGGGTGCACTTTTTCCTTTTTTGACCGCACATGCGTACCTGCGCACTGCTTATGTGCCACTCTGGTTATTACCTAGGGAGGCTTCAAAAAGTGTTAACCAAGTGGACGAGGAGCTGTGACAATTGTGGGCACATTCAACCCAATGTAAGTGTTTACACCAAACAGGGGGATTGTTGTTGATGACGCATGTAAGAGTGGCCTATAACTCTTGATTACACCTCTCCATTTGGCCATTTGACTGTGGGTGATAACCTGAGGTAAGACTGACCTTGGCTCCCAGGGCGTTACAGAAAGCTTTCCAGACCTGAGACGAGAATTGGGACCCTCTGTCCGAAACAATGTCCTGGGGTATTCAATGGAGGCGAAAAACATGAGTCACTAGGAGCTGAGCCGTTTCCATGGCAGTAGGTAATTTGACTAAGGGTACAAAATGAGTAGATTTTGAGAAACTATCAATGATGGTTAAAAAGGCCGTGTTCCCTTCTGAGGGGGGAAGTCCAGTGATGAAATCTAAAGCGATATGAGACCACTGGCGTGCAGGTACTGGTAAAGGCTGGAGAAGTCCCGCAGGTTGCTGATTGTTATTCTTATTTTGGGCACATGTGGAGCAGGCTGAAACAAAGTCTTTAATGTCATTATTGATTGTAGGCCACCAGAAATACCTTTTAGTGAATGACATCATGTGGGAGATGCCTGGATGCCAGCTGCGGTGAGGTGTCAATCAATTAACAGGCTGCACCAACCAAATGCCTCAGTATTTTTTGTTTGTTTGTTTTTTCCTATTTAATTTCTGGTTGTTTTCTTTCTGGCTTATTATTGTCAAAAAAAGGTCCAGATCAGTTGTGTTTCCTGGACCAAACTGGTTGGATGAGAAGTAAAAGTATTTACAATTCTGACACATTATTGGTTTGTACGATCCCTGCACATGACCTAAGAAAGGTCTTTTTGGAAATTCTAGTGGCTCACTTTTACTCAATATTTTAATTTTAATTCTTAAGTACATTTTAGGTTAGAAATTTACTTACTTAAGTAAAGACTTTTACTATCAAAGTCACTTTTGGGTACCTTACTGCCCTTTGGGGACAGTTATTGTTTTTATCAACATCAATTACAATATATATATATATATATATATATATATATATATATATAAAAGATATATATATATATATATATATATATATGAACTAATACAAGGTTACATTTTTATTATTACAAAAAAATAAATTACAAAAAGAAAAAAAAACAGTATTGACTTTAATTTGGCTCAGAGGTCAGTTATCCAGCCTGAAATTACTTTTTTTTCATGTTTTTATGCTTCAATTTGGGTCGGTACTGCTTCCAGTACATGAGTACACTTCTAGACATGACTAAATTCAATAAACAGATTGATACATTTGCAGCCTCATCACTAAAGGCAAATAACAGTGTATGCTCAGTACACAATGTGCAAATTAAACAATATGCAGAAGTGCATATATTTGTTACCTAATGTAGCAGTTTTCATAGCAACACGTTCTTTAAGAAAAAAACAAAAACAAAATAAACTAGCTAGCCATTCGCCAAGCCCAGATGAAGTCTCAACTCTTCTTCCATATTTTGTGCTGTGACTAACGTGACAGTTGATAAGTAGTATTGATAGCCATTTCAGAAAAGCTAACTTAAAATGACCAGATAATCTCTTTTCTGCTCAAACAGTATAAACATTACAGCAGGAAAAGCAGCAGAGAAGGGAAGGAAAAAAGTAACATCCATAAAGTCCTGATGCATCTCAGTAATCCAGGTAAAAAATCAAAAAGAAAAAAAATTGTGTAGGTCTTCTGGACTTTTTAACATCCATAAACATCTTCCTACTTGTTTAAATTTAACAGAGCATGTGAAATTGAGCCAAAACTAGGCTGACTGCGCACAGTTATTAGTCCTTGGCACAAGCCTCTCTTTTCAAGGCAGTAATCCGGTTTCTGACAATTTTTTACTCCAGTCCAGCTTCTGTCCTTGAGTGCATTGGGTTCTGCATTGATGCACAGAATACAGTCGATTTTCTGAGGTACCTTACATGTGTTGATGAATTTCATCATGTCTTTCAACTGCGTGAATCTCTCTCACTTCCCACATATTTAGCAATTCCCTTTTTGCCTGTGAAGAATAATAAATATCAGTATAACAACATTTTAAACATTTTACCTAAAACAAGTGGTATACACTACTTAAAGCGGGGGTGTATTTTCCAGACAGTTGAATTCTGTACCACAATCAAATAACCATTCAGTTGTTATGAAAAGGCTGCATRTATCAATAAAAATTTTGACTTTGCGTCATAATCCATCTAAATGCTTAGAATATCGCCTCTGTCTTTTTAGGAACTTCCTACCATTTCAGACACTCCCACTTAAAAAGAATAATCATTTTGGGCAATGCCATAATCAGTAATATTGAAAAATAAGCAGCAAAAGATTAAAAGTATCATGTTTCCTGGAATGCTTGTTATAGTCCTATGGAGGCAAGATATTGATTAATTCATTAATCTTATCAATCAACTAATTGATAAGCTGCCATTTGCTTCAAAATCTGAGTTTTCTCTTGTATTAAGAGGATGTTTCCATAACCTGAAGGGCTAGTTTTTAAATAATATACTGAATTTCATAAAGGAAGCACATCAATTGATTTTAACTATTTATCATGCCAGCTATAATAAATACTGACTGACAAAAATGGTGGATTTCTCACATATTAAATATT